CATTTAGAGTTATGCTGATCCATTCCACAGGCTGACACAAATGTGGAACATAATGATCCTGAATTTTATACCTATGATGCAGGCACCTCCAAAGCCCTAACATGAGTGCAAGAGGCTTTGGTAGACATGATTGATATAAACCATAATGGTGTTCAAGTTATGTCAACCAGGATCTGTAAATATAATTATATATGGAGCAAAGTCTTTGTTCAAGATCAATTTAAAATGAGCCTATTGGGTTAACCTCTAATCTGAGATAACATTCCCTTATGAAAATGAGATATTTGGATGTGAGACAGACAAGCACATGGAAAGCATGGCTTGTAAAGTAAGTACAGAGCAATATGCCTGATGCATTCAAAAGTCAAAGAAACCCAAAGATCACCAGAAAAATATCAGGAGAGAGGCATGAAACAGATTATCCCTCTGTTTCAAAACAGAGACATAAAACGAGCCCACATAATAAAGACTAAAACCACAAAGCAATACTATTCAAAAACAAGTTCAACATGAAGCCAAATCTAGTACTTTAACAGAGACAAAGAAGATTAATGTTTAAGTACCATTGTGGTATTGGTTACATGGGTATACACGCTTATACAAAACTCACCTCTACACTTTAAAATGTTACATTTTGGGCTGGAGAGATAGCTCAGTAATCTGAGCTCCTGCCTGAAAGGCACAAGAACCTGAGTTCCATCTCTAGTACCACGTGCCGTGCTTGCCCAGAAACCCTGGTTGCACACTGCCAGCCATGAAACCGGACAGGGTGGTGAACACTTGTAGTCCCAGTACAGGGGAGGCTGAGACAGGAGGATCACTATGCATCTCAGTTGCATAGTGAGACTCTTTATCAACACCAAATAAAATAGAATACAGTGTTTCATTTAGTTGTGTTGAAATTATGACTTAAGGAGTATATTTAAAAAGTGGTAAAATATTTTATTTCCCTTTACTTTTCTTTTCTAATATCCACTGACTTACTAATTTAAAAATGTTTCAGAAATAACTCAAAATTTAATTAATAGTCTTTATTATAGTTATAATGCACTTACATTTTATCACTATTGTTAAGATCAATACTTATTAATTATGAATTTAACATGTTTAAGAGTAATATATTCAACAATGGGAAACTGGAGATATTATGGTGGGTGTCCAATACACAGAAAGCAAAATGGTGGAACAAAATAGTATGTCACATTTATTTGAATTGTTACCTGGCTTCATAATTTTGCCTAACATTTAACCATGGAATAGAACACTGAGTCACAATAACCCATCCCATACCTTCTACCGTACATTTGTGCTGTGTTATAAACACACAACTGGGTCTCAGCAGCTGCACCTGGAGAGTGCAGGTAGCAATCTTATGTTCACGCACGTGGAATGACAAGCTGCAAGGTGTGGAAAGGCAAGGAAGATGCATGCATGTGTGCAAAAGTACCAAAGTGGGATTTTTTACCCACATAACGCTCTAGGTAACAATTTTTGTGCATGTTTCCCTGAGGATCACAGGGAGTAAAATGCACCTACACCACTGTTCTTTTCTGGAAAGACATTTTTATTATAAATAGAAGGCAGTGTGAATACAGTAGCTCTGCCTGGGGAAAGCAAGAACTCCTGTCTGTGCTCACCACCTTGCAGGCAGATGGCACTGTGTGTGCAGAAGTTCCAAAATGTTTACTGGTGAGTTTTACTTCTGAAATCTTCTTTACTAAATTTCTTGGGATTTAGGATTTTTTCAAAACAATTATTTTGATTTTTTTTTCTGGTAGAAGTAGTCCAATCCATTACAGTGGCACATAGCACACCATATTTGCAACGTTTGGAAGAGGTCAAGAGTGAATCATCTGATCATTGATGTCATGTGTGGATGATGAAGATGATAGCGACTTTGAATTTAGCCATGTGAGTCAAAGTTTCATGACAGCAAAATGGGGCAAGAATCCACAACGTGATGAGCTGTAAAAGGCTCAAGTCAACAACTTCTGACATTGCCAGTCCAATGGATAACCTACTACCATTATGGATTACTGAACTATATTGGATTATTTTGCTGAATTCATGAGCCTACAATATTTATTTATTTATTTATTTATTTATTGATTGATTGATGGAACTGGGGATTGAACTCAGGCCCTTGTGCTTGCCAGGTCAGCGCTTATTCTACTGAGCCATCTCACCGGCCCCAGAGCCTACAATATTTAAATGGAAATGAAATACTCACTGTTGACAAAACTATAAAAAAAGGGTGATATAAATGAAGGACCATTTTGAAGTGAAAAAAAATGCATTTATATCTCTCTCTATCTCTATATCTATCTATATACATATATATCTAGATATATGCCTATATATCTGTATATACGAGATAGGATAGATATTCAGCTACTTTCTCTTAATTCAATGAGATGAAATAATTGCACTAATAGTGTTTGGGCAGGATGTCATGCCTGCATCTTGTACTATGAATAACTACTGTGAAGACAACAATATGCAATGTGTTAATTGTAACTGTCCTAGTAATTTGTTTTGCAACTATCTTATTGCTATTGAAATTTCAATAAAAACAGAATCCACAATATGAGTAGCATTTCTGCATTTGAGTAGTAGCAGTGGTACAAAATGGTAATGCTGTATCAGAAAACTTCTCCCCCACCAGTACCCTGCAGTTTCCTTGTTGTCAAGGTGGTAGTTTGCTTTTGTCTACTAGAAATGGCTGATCACTGTAATGCATAACTGGTCATTATGATACATTTTGTAAGAGTCAGAAGCAGCAAAGTGCACTATCTCTGAACTTCCCTTTTGCAATCCCATAAAGACTTGCCTCCCTGAGCCTTTGGGCTGGATATTATGGAAATGATCCTGAACAGTGCCTTTCAACATAAAATAAATCTGCTTCCAAATCCTGGGTGTCATTTTGATGTTTTGAGTGCTCTTGCATTTGGCACTTCAGCCTGGAAGACTGATTGCCCTGATGTCTTTGGTCATTGGTCATGCACCTCATAGACAGAGCTGGGACCTCTCCAAGGGCCTGATGGGAAGGTGTGCCCTTGTGCTTTTAAGATTTCGTGAGTCCCCTCAGAAGTCTGGAGGAGGATTCCTACCTCCTCAATGAGCAGTTCACAATGGACCTGAGAAAGGGAGGAGGACACAGTCTGTCTGTCTGCCTGATTGCTGGCCTGCCTGCCTGACTGACTGTCTGTCTGTCACCTGTCTGTCTGAGCATGCCTTCTTGTTGTCCTGATTGTCCCTCCAGCTCATGTAAAGCAGAAGGAGAGTCTGAATGACTCATATCAGCTAGGGCTACCCTCAAGGGAAGGTTATTGGAATGTTCAAACTCTGAGAGCCTGCCAAATGCATGTGAGAATGAGTGGGACAGACGGTGTAAGACATAGGCTGCTCTGTATGTGTACCAAGACTGGGAGCACTGTTCTAA